CCCCCGCCCCCAACACAGCCTTCCCGCTTGGCAACATTCCGATGATCCTCCAGTGACACACGGTTGCCACCTGACGTCCATGGCTTGCATTAGGGTTCCCTCCTGGTAGTGTATGTTCTACGGGTTTTGACAAAAACCACATAAATCCACCACTTGTACCACACGAGTAGTTTCAGGGCCCTAAAAATCCTCTCTGCTCCACCTATTCACCCCTCCCTCCCCCTCCCAACCCTGGCAGCCACTGATATTTTTTACTGGTCTCCAGAGTTTTGCCTTTTCCAGAACGTCACAGAGTGGGAATCATACAGTATGAAGCCTTTTCAAATTGGCTTCTTTCACTTAATAATATCCATTTGAGGCTCCTCCATTGTTTTCCATGGCATGACAGCACATCTCTTTTTAACACTGAATAATATTCCATCGTGTGGATGTACCACAACTTATTTATCCGTTTATCTACCAAAGGACATCTTGGCTGCCCCTGGTTTTGGCAATTATGAATAAAGCTGTGCAGGTTTTTGTATGGATATAAGTTTTCAGTTTATGCTATTTTAAAGTAATTCTTCCAAATATATAAAAGTATATATAAAAGTAAATAAAATAAACCTGAGATAAGGGCTAAAGGGATCTGATAAACTATGGCCCTTCTCCTCGTACAGACATGTACACAAAGCAATCTGGAGTGACTGAGGGGGGCAGGAAGGGACAACAGAGTTGAAGGTTCCCTCAGACCAGCCTGGGGTCCCCGATCTCAGGACTCAGCTGACGGGGCCACAGGGCAAAAGGGCCTCTGAGCCTATAAGCACCTACTATGTGCCCAGATTGCACTGGCACCTCCCTTCCAGGCCCTCCCTAAATCGGGCCGCAAATATGGTATCCACAATTTCCAGGGATTCACCTGCTCTGGGGAGGCCACCTGTAGACTCTGGCTTAAAACCAAGGCTCTGCAAGGGCCAGCCTGAGGCCACACCCCACCACAATGTGAACTCCACAGGGCAGCCTGTGTTACCTGTTTGTTCACACCTGTATCCCCAGAGCCCAGGACAGAAACCAGCCTATGTAAATGTCCAATATATATGTCTTTTGAATGAATTCCAACGGACGATGGTGGTAGGAGGGGGTGTTTCAGAATTAAGTCACTTAGATCTGGTCACAACAGCCGGCTCCCCCAGCAGCTTGATTTTTACTGTTGGCCAGACCCTCAGCTCCCACCCATCCCCAGAGTTACTAACACAAACCTTAAGCTCCCACTTAATCTACTGCTTACTGTGCACCAGGTGCTGTGCTGAATGCTTTGCATTCTTTAACTCACTTCATCTGCAGGACACCGTGTGCCTATGAGGAAGTGTGGAAAAAGCAACCACTCGCCTAACAAGTACTGGGATTCAAACCCAGGGCTGCCTGACTCCGGAGACATCTGCTTCCTTCAGCTTGGCTCTCCCCTCCCCACGAGCTCCCGTTCCTTCCATCTGTCTGCCTGGGCCCCGTGCCCAGGGCTGCTGGCCTCCCCACAGCTACCTCCTGGGGCCTGAGGCCAAGAGGATCGGAGCCAGTCCTATCTGGGGGCATTTCTGGAACCTCCAGCTGCTTCAGGCAGTACTCCTGCCAGATCCTGACTCCCTCCCTTCCCTGCCCACCAGGGTCCCACGGGAATGGCACCTACGCCTGGAGGAGATGGACCACGAGGCTCTAAGGAGCAGTTCCTCAGTGTGCTATTTATTCAACAAACTTGTGTTAAATATCCACCTTGTGCCAGGCACTGTGTGAGCCACTGGGGCTTACATTCTAACGAGGGAAACAAGACCATAAAACGGTCCACACCATCCTGTCAGGGAGTGATACGTGCAGTGAGGGAGAACACAGCAGGGTAAGAGCGGGAGAGTCACAGAAGAGGCAGTGTTAGCAGGCTGGGGAGGCCTCAGGGGGACGTGAAGGACATGAGGGAGGGGGCCTGGCAGCCGCGGGGAGAGTGTTTCCAGCCGAGAGATGAGGCGTGCAGAGGTCCTAAGCACCACGAGGGACAGCCGTGGGGCCACCACACCTCTGATGGAAGGAGTGAGGCAAGTGCTGGGAGAGGTCGGGGCGGTGACCGGGACCACATCACATAGAACGCTGTTAGCCTGGCATGGGGAGGACTCTGAATTTTCCTCTGAGTGACGTGCACGGTCCGTGGAGGGTGGGAAGTGTGTATCTGTGCTGAGAGAGGATTAGGTGGCAGTGGTCCTCTCCAACTCACGTTTTCAAAGGGTCCCTGTGGCTGCCGTGTGGAAGTGGTGAGAGCTGGGCAAGTGGCTGAGTCCCGGGGCCCCCATCCCTGGCCTGGCTCCGCTCCCGACAGCGCCTCACCTGTACAGACTGAGGTCCGTGAACCAGTCCTGGATGACAATCACCACATGGCAGACCGTGAAGAGGAAGGCAGCGATCTGCAGTGACTGAGGGGGGCAGGAAGGGACGACAGAGTTGAAGGTCCCCTCAGCCCAGACTGAGGTCCCTGATCTCAGGACTCAGCTGAGGGGGCCGCAGGGCAAAAGCACCTCTGAGCCTATAAGCACCTACTATGCGCCCAGATTGCACTGGCACCTCCCTTCCAGGCCATCCCTAAAATGGGCCAGGTGGCAATGATCAGCCCCTTTTTACACAGGCGGATACGGAGGCTTGAAGGGGGGATGATTTTGCCGAGAGGCAGAGCCAGGGGCTGAGTCGGGTCTGACTCTTGGTGCCGTCCTCTCCCTCCAGCTCTGGGGTACCCAGGGCTCTTATGAAGCAGAAACTAGCCTAACCCGTATCCACTAGCGCTCCATCCTGGACCACCAGGCCTGGCTCGGCCCCCTCACCTGCATCTCCACGTAGGTGTGGGGCAGGCTGTACTCTGGAGGCAGCTTGCGGTCGTTGTTGATGAGGTGGTCCAAGATGGAGGGGCTCAGGATGGGCTGGAGCAGGAAGACAGCAAGGTGTCAGGGAAGGGCCGCGGGTCAGGATCCCAGGGGACACGGCCACCCAAGTTCCACCCAATGACGGCAGATACATCACCTCTCAGGACAAAATAATGTCAGATACGTGGGCAGTTTCTAATTAGGAAAGAACTAGTCAGTGAGGGGAGGTGACAAAAAGAGTTCCAAAGCTGACACACTTTCCCCAGCGCTCTCACAAGTCCCCACTGCTCCCAAGTGCTGCGTGCCCCAGAAGAGCGCTCCTAGTGCTGGAAAATCTAACATCCACTTGAATGAGTCATGTCCCTGCGACACCCTTATTTTGGTGTTTCAAATGCTTTCAGGCCTTCCCTGGTGGCGCAGTGGTTGAGAGTCTGCCTGCCGATGCAGGGGACAGGGGTTCGTGCCCTGGTCCAGGAGGATCCCACATGCCGCGGAACGGCTAGGCCCGTGAGCCGTGGCTGCTGAGTCTGCGTGTGTGGAGCCTGTGCTCCGCAACAGTGAGAGGCCCGTGTACCGCAAAAAAAAAAAAAAAGGTATCAAATGCTTTCAAAACTTCACTGGGATAATCACTCAGGTCAAATAACAATGATTAATGTGAAGACTAGTGAGGATTTAAAACGCTGCATCAGGGCTTCCCTGGTGGCACAGTGGTTAAGAATCCGCCTGCCAGTGCAGGGGACACAGGTTCGAGCCCTGGTCTGGGAAGATCCCACATACCGTGGAGCCACTAAGCCCGTGTGCCACAACTACTGAGCCCGAGTGCTGCAACTACTGAAGCCTGCACGCCTAGAGCCCGTGCTCCACAAATGAGAAGCCACTGCAATGAGAAGCCCATGCACCGCAAGGAAGAGTAGCCCCCGCTCTCTGCAACTAGAGAAACCCAGCAGGAAGCAACTAAGACCCAACACAGCCAAAGCAAACAAACAAACAAAGAACTGCATCAGTGGGTGTAAAAGAGTCATCTGTGAGCTCATCACCTTTTCTTAAAGGAACATCCCACTAAAAATACAAGAAGCTAAATTAGTGGATGATCTGTCCACTTCTTCCTGCCCTGGGTGGAATTAACTTTAAGAAAGAGGCCTTCCTCTTTCCTCTTCCTCAGACCAATGGCTCACTTTCCAAAACCCCAAACACTGCAATGTTCCATTCTGTCTTTTTTCATTCATTCATTTATTGCTTGCTTGTTTGCTTGCTGCATTGGGTCTTCATTGCCGCTCATGGGCTTTCTCTAGTTGCGGCGAGCGGGGGCTACTCTTCCTTGTGGTGCACGGGCTTCTCGTTGTGGTGGCTTCCTTGTTGTGAAGCACAGGCTCTAGGTGCACGGGCTTCAGTAGTTGTGGCTCGTGGGCTCTAGAGCTCAGGTTCAGTAGTTGTGGCACATGGGCTCACTAGTTGTGGCTCACGGGCTATAGAGCGCAGGCTCAGTAGTTGTGGTGCACAGGCTTAGTTGCTCCACAGCATGTGGGATCTTCCTGGACTGGGGCTCGAACCTGTGTCCCCTGCACTGGCAGGCGGATTCTTAACCACTGCGCCACCAGGGAAGTCCCTTCCATTTTGTCTTGTTCTAACTTCTGCTCTGCCCCATGGGGGCCCCAGACCAGCCTGCAGCTGGTTCAGCTCGGCACGAGGTCTCGGTGGTCCTGTCACAGGGCCTGGCACACAGGTCTCACACCACATTTGTGGAAGGTTTTCCACCCATCAATGTGTACGGTGGCCAGAACTTTGTTCCACTAACATTCATTGAGTATCAGCTGTGGGCCAGGCCTCTCCCTGAGGAGCTGCAGACTGGATAGGAGTGGGCACAGAATGCAAGAACCAGATTGTGGTAAGTCACGTGCTGCGCTGGGAGGTGCACATGGGTGCACATGGGCACCGGTGGGCGCTCAGAGGAGGGGGAGGCTTCCAGGAGGAGGCAACGCCCCTGCGGAGTCTTCAGGGAGGAGAAGGCAATAGCCAAGTAACAAAGCAAGGGGAGAGAGAATGTTCTAATGGTGACGATGCTGACAGCCAAGAGTAATGAGAACCCACTTCATGCCAGGACTTTACCTGTGTTAATTCACTGACACCTCACAGAAACCCCACGAGGGAGGTAATGTTGTTTTTCCCACTTAAGAAAACCGAGGAGTGGAAACGTTAAACAACCTGGCCAAGGTCGCAGAGCTCAGGAGTGAGACTATGGCGAGGACTGGAGGTGTGTGTGGTGGGGCTGGTGTCCACATCAGAGAGGGGAGTCCAGGGAGTCTGACGGAGGTGAGCCGCACAGGCCCCGGCTGCCTAGCTAAGGAATAGGGATCTTGGAGAAGCTGAGGAAAGCTGCCAGGAAACGCAGGACAGGCCAGCTCTTGTGACAGTGAGGCGCCTGAAGGCTCACCACGCACCATCCCGTGCCCAGCACGTTGCCTGGACTGTTCCACTGACTCCCGGCAACCCTCCTATGAAGTTGAGAAAATTATCACCCCCATTTACAGATGAAAAAATGGAGGTGGGGGGGTTAAAACTTACTTAAAGGCCAGCTCTGGCTGTAGACTGACTCCAGGGCCCACACTTCCAACTGCTATGCTATAAGATTCTTTAGGCTCCTGTGTACACGATGGATGGGAGGGGAGAGGGGGTGAAATCTGACAAGAAGAGACTAAGAGCCAAAAAGAGACACAACTTGCCCAAAGGCACTAGCATGTCCGTGGCTTGGCGGGAGCCCCATGGAATCCAAGCAAAGTTCTGGCTTAAACACATTTGGGGATGAAGCTGAGTGCTGCACGCAGCAGGGTGGGGTGAGTGGGGGTCAGCACCTGCGTGTCCAGGAAAACGATCCGCTCCTGGGTAATAAAGAAGTCAATGCCACTGGTCTGGTTGCCCCCTCGTTCCTTCATTTCGGCGCTCTGGGCCCGGAAGACATAGGCCCTGTGGAAAGGAGCAGGTGGGGGCATTAGAGGTCAGGTTCTTGGCCTTTGCCGCCTCCAGAGTGTGGCCCTGTGAGTGAGACTATGAGATGTGATTCCCCACCTGCCCGCAAAGCCTTCCATTCATGGCCCCTGCTGCCTAGGGGGCTATGTTTTATATCACATGACTTCATCCCTACCCATAGGTAGACCTGTTGAGTCTTAACAAAATCAATAGACCGAGGTGTTTAAGAGCAAGGACTTTGCTGCACTGCTGGGATTCAAACCCCAGCCCTGCCTCGTCCTGGCTGTGTGGCTTTGAGTAAGTTCCTTAATCCCTTTCTCCTCAGTTTCCTCATCTGTAAAACGGGGACAACAATAGTCTCAATCTCTCAGAGTGACTGTGAGGTTAATATACATAAAGCCCTTAAAAGAGTGCCTGATACACGGCGATATAAAATTGCTATTAATTATCAAGTGTACCTGCCATGTACCAGGTATGGGACACACAGCACTGAATACTCTCCACCCCATGGTGAGAGGGTGCGGGGCATCCGGCCTCCCAGTTCTTACCCTGACCAGAGCGCTTTCCCTGCTCCCCCTCCTCAGCGTCTGCTTGTTCTCAAATGGCCCCCTGACCAGCTGACTTATACAGTAACCTGGTCCCAGCCACCTCCCTATAACCCCTTCCCGTTTGATTATCATCTCCTAATGTGCTCGTTTACTAGCTCTCCATAAAAATGCAAGCCCCACGGGGACAGAGATTTTTGCCACTTTTGTTTACTGTTGTAGCCCCAGCACCCAGGATAGGGCCTGGCCCGTGGTAAACACCCAATAAATATTTGTTGAACTGAAGCAAGGAGACCAGTTAGGAGGCTCCCGGCCTCCTCCAGGGGAGACGGCAGTGGCCTGGGCCAGGAGACAGGCGTGGAGGACAGGAGCACATGAACTCTCAAGATAATTAGGAGGTAAAACTTACGAGACCTGATGACAAGAGTTGGTACCAACGTCTGACATGTCACAGGCAGGCCTGCCTCAGAAGGACACATTAGGCCGACAGGATTCTAGCTCAAGTATCCGAGCCGACAGCCACAGGGAAGTTTTGCTAGTTGGGGGTGGAAGCTGAGATGGGAAGGATGCCAGCCAAGAGAGCTGCAGCTGTGCCAGAGTGGAGCCCAGTTGAGCTGAAGTCATGAGTGAGCAGAGAAGAGTGGGGACGAGCCGACCTGGGAGGCGGGGCACCGCAGCTCGGGGTCTGGGGATGTACGTTCTCACCACAGGGGTTCTTAACCTGTTCAGGGTTTCCCTCAGGCCCCTCTGAGAGCTGGTGGGAACTATGGACACTTTCCCTAGAAGAGAAGCCTGACTGTAAATGTGTGTAGAATCCTGCATATACCGTTCGGGGGTTCATGGACACCTGAGGCCCATGCACGGTGTCCAGGGTGACATCACCGACTTTATAAAAACCAAACTCCTACGCTATTAGATAACCCTAAGTGGCCACAACCCCTGCTCACCCCCCATCTTGATTCTTCCCTAATTAGACTGTCTGTGTTCCCTACCTTACTCCCCAATCCCTGCCTTTCCCTCTTTCCTTCCCTGCCCTCAGTTTGGGGCTCTAGTTCTCAAGCTCCCTCCTCCCTCAAAGGACTCCACCCTTTACCTTCACAATCATACCCTGTCCTTACTCAGCAAGGCAGGACTGAGGCTGGTCTAGAACCCACGCCCTTCACCCAGGTCTCTTGTCCCAGTGTTTCCCAGGCCACATCAGTCACATCCTGTGAGCACTCACTCTGTGCCAAGTTCTTGTTAACTTTTGCCTTCCCGATCTTGTCTCATCCTCCAAAAACCCACTTTACAGATGAGAAAGTGAGATACCAGGATCTTGGCTGCCCAAGATCAGCCAGCTGGTGAGCGGCAGGGCTGAGACTGAGGTGAACCTAAATCCAAAGACTTAATGAATACGCCATGCCAGTTCCTGGCTGGCCCTGTACCATTTGCTGGAACAAGGAAGGAAGGGAGGGAGGGAGGTACAGGATCGGTGTCCTTGGAGCTACACGAAAGTTTGGTCCAGACTGGTCATCATCCTCGTGTGACAGAGACACTGAGGTCAAGGTAGGGGAACACCAAACACCACTTGCAATATCCAGGCCCACCCTCCCCTGACCTAGGTGGGTGCCACCTCCCTTGCAGACCCAATGTCCCCCTCACCTCTGGTCCTCCTCAGGAGTGTTGGCTGACAACAACGACATAACCATGGACTTGCCTGTCCCCTGGAGGCCCAGGACACCAACGACCAAGACATCAGTCTGATCCAACAGGTACTGCGGGAAGATGCAGGAATGAGACCCTCAAAAATCTGTTGGTTGATGGAGTGGGAGTGAGGAAGGGGTCCTAAAGACTTCCATGGCTCGCCCACCAACCTTCTCAGATATAAAGAAAAACGTTTGTGTTCCAAATCCCCTCAACTGGGCAAAGGGTGGGGGAAGGGGGGTATATGGAACGTTCTGGGCACAAAGAACAGCATTTGTGAGAGCTCCAAAGCAGAAAAGAGCCTCGCTGGTCAAGAAGGTACTAGGAAGTCAGAGTGGCTGGAACACAGAGGAAAAGGGGTGCCTGACTTTGGGGAGAAGGGGAGAGGCACAGGAACAAAAGGATGGGTGGAAGAAGCCAGGACTGGGTAACTGAGGGCCACTGGAGCAGACTCCTGGGAGGCTTTGGGCTTCAGGCAGGTTGGGAAAACATGGGAAAGCATGAGAAAGGCAGCAGTAAGCAGGAAGGGGAGACCAGCCCGTCCTGGCTCTGTCTGTGGGATTTAAGAGTCCTACAGAATCCTGAGACCTTCACCTCTGGGCTGCCAGCTCTGCTGATTTTCACCACCAGGGGGCACAAGAGACACTCCTCAAGGAAACCAGTCATGTCCTCAATGTGGCTGCTGCACCTTCGAATCATCTGGAGAGCTCTAAAAAAAACCCCTCTAATCCTGGGCTGAACCCTAGACCCACTAAAGCAGAATATCGAGGGCTAGCCCAGTTCAATATGGTTGACACTGACCACATGTGGCTACTTAAATTTAAATTAATTAAAATTAAACAAAACTACAAATCAGTTCCTCAGTTATACGATCCACGTTTGGGGATTTGTGGGTAAGCGCTCTATAGCAGGGCCTGGACAGCGGCTCTTTTTTTTTTTTAAAGCTTCCCAGTTGATATCAACATGAGAGTGGTAACAGATGGGCCTGGTGTGTTGTTAGTAAATCCAAGCTGTTGGAGAAGGAGCATACCTGGAAGAATCTGAGTAATGTGACAAGCCTGGGAAGAAAAAACAGGACGGGGGGAAATGAAGACTGGGACACTGGAAGTAGATATGATGGTCCAGGAGTGTGAGGCGTGGACTACAGTGAGGGCTGCTGGGATGGAGGCGGAACCTCTGGGGGCTAACATTCAAACCAGTTCACACTGGTACTGCATGGGTCTCGACCAATCAGGAGGAGGACTGGAGCAGGCCCAGGAGGCTGCCCTGCTGCGTGCGAGAGGGGGCAGGAGATCCCAGGGCCTCTGCGGTGGTAATGGGTCCCTCTCTGCCAACCAGTATCAAAGTATTTCAGCATTTTAACAACCAGCACAGCTGAGCTAGTGTAAGCCACTGAAATTCGGCCCAGCTAGGTGAGAACTTTCTGATCCATTCTCTCACTGCTTCCATTGCCCGAAAGCTGTCTAGTCTGGTGTTGCCTGCCAAGGAGGTGGGGGGTGGGGAGGAGGTGAGGGTGTGGGACCCGGAGAAGGTCGAGCAGGGAGAGAGCCCTGACCCCCCAGTACCTCAATGGCACTGTCGCACCAATTCATCTGGTCATCCACCAACTTGATGCTGTGCTTCATGCGCTCTGGGGGCAGCAGTTTGGCCTGGCCCACGACAGCTGCAGACAAGGACGTGCTGAGGGTCTGTGCGAGGGGGTTCCGGCTCCCAACCAGATCCTGCCCGGCCCCAACTCACGGTCCATGGCTGCCGGCGCGGCAGTCCCCATGCCCCGGTTCTGGATCTGGTACACAGGCTGTGTGGGTCTCTGCCCCTCCTTCTCCCCCTTGGGTGGTGCAGGGGCTGCCGGGGGTGGTGGGGCAGTGCCCTCCGGGGTGGAGGCACTCGCTGTGGCCGCAGGCCCTTTCCCCTCCTCCCGTGGCTTCATGAGGACAATGGGCTTCTCAAGAGGGGCTGGGGCAGGCGGGGCGGCAGGGGTCGTTGGAGTCGGTGGCTGCTTTGACTACAGGCATGAGAAGGTTCCGGTCAGTGGAGAGATCCTTGCCCCCTAACTGCTCCCAGCCTCCCCTTCCAAAGCGTCTTCCCCACTCACCCGCTCTGCTGGAGGTTTTGAGAGGATGATGGGGGTTTTCTGCATGACCGCTGTGCTTGTCTCTTCGCTGCCATCCTGTGGTGAGGGAGGGCAGTTACTCAGGAGTGGCTCCCTTAGCTCCCTGGACACACCTCTAAGTGCCAAGTACCATTCTAAACGCCTTCAGACATAAACTCCTCCAATCCTACCAACAGCCCTGCGAGAGATACCTTTATCGCCATTTTTCAAATGAACTGAGATCCAGAGAGGTTAACTGGTTTGCCCAAGGCCACACAGCCAATTAAGCAGTGGAGCAGGCCTTGAAGCCAGACAGCCGGGTTCCAGAACCACGCTGCCTTTGCTAGACAAGCCCAGGCAGAAGGCGCTGGGGCTCTGGAGCGAGAGACATCTGCATTCGAACTTGGCCTTGGCTTTTGTTGGTTGTGTGAACACAGATAAGGAACCACCCTTACTTAGGCCTGTGTGCTCATCTGGCGAATGGGGATAGGAATTCCTCCCTCACAGGACTGTTAAGAGGCCGAAAGTAGACAGGACTCACAAACCGTCCACGTAGCATTGGGCACGTGGCAGGTGTGCAATATCTAGAGCTGCTATCCTGACAGCCCTGCTGTCCCAACCTCCGCTCCCCAGCCCCACCCGGGCTAGCCAAGTCAGCGGACTGATTCCCATGCCGTACCCTCTTCATGCCTCTTCTGTCTCACCCCCATCTGCCTAAGAAAGGGGAGAGACCTGAGTTTGAATCCTGTTCCTTCTGTGGTACCCTGAGCAACCCTGGGAGAGTCCTGACCCTTCACTAGGTCTGTTTCTTCACCCACATATTGAAGATATTTAAATCCTGTTCACTCACTGGCCTATGATGAAGGACAAACCAAAGGATATGAACGTGCTTTGCAAAGAACAGGTGAGGGTGAAGAGATGAGGATGGATAGGAGATACAGTCAGGAGGCACCATGTACGGCACAGGTGCCCGACGGGCGTGGGGCGTGACGAGGATGAGACCTGCTGGGCCGTCACTAGTAGCAGGAGGAAGAGAATTGGCAGGAAGACGCTGAGGTCAGCAGGAGACATGGAGGACGTGAGGAGTCCATTGGCCAGTTAGGAGGCTGCCAGGGTCAAAGACAAGAGATCTGGGAGTTGCTTGTTCAGGGACTGAAGCTGAAGGTGCAGGAAGATGGTAACATTCCCCAGAAAGATGTGTGTGGAAGGAGGAGAGACTGCGTGTTGTCACTTATGCTGTGGCCCAAGGGAAGGAGTAAGAGCCAAGCTCACTGTGAATAAATTTCCTTCATGTTTTTTTGCAGTTTTATGGCTTAGAAAGTGTCCCAACCATTATCTTCTTCCACTCCCCTCCCCCCACCTCCAAATAAACAGCCCTTAGAGGCAGGCAGCGCCCTGGAGAAAGAACCCGGGGGGCAGGCTGTGGCAGTGAGTCACCTACACACAGGAGAGGAGCAAGGCTGGACCGGGCCCACAACGAAGCTTCCGATTCCCGATTCCTGGTCCAGGACACTCTACAGCAGACACAGTGGTGCTGCGCCTGAGGCTCACTTGGATTCGGGTTCAAGTCCTGGCCCCAAAGCTTATTGACTTGTGACTTTGGGTAAGTCCCTTCCCCTCTAAGACTCATTTCCTCATTACTGAAAACTGCGTCTATCATAGGCTCTAATTCATGGGAGAGCTGCAGGAGCTCAGGAAGACCCAAAGGATGGAAAGCGCTCTGCAGAGCACCAGCACACTGCGCACTGCTCAATAAACAAAAAAGGCTGCTATTATTACACAACTCTGGAAAACAGGAGCTTCTGGCACCTCTCAGCTCAAACTCCAATGCCAATTCCAGTCAGTGAAATCCAAAGTTCTTTCCAAGGCCTATCAGGTCCCACATGATCTGGCCCCAGTTTCCTCTCTGATCTCATCTTCTATCACTTCCCCTTCTTCATCCACTGCAGCCACGCTGGCCTCCTGGCTACTCCTTGAACACACCAGATAAAGGCCTCAGGGCCTTCGCATTTGCTGTTCTTTCTGTTTTAAATGCTCTTCACTCAGATTCTGTCAGGACTTGTCCCCTTGCCTCCTTCAGGTCTCTGCTCAAAAGTCAGCTCTTCAGAGAAGCCTCCTCTGACTGATTCATCTAAGACAGCCCCTTTATCACTCTGAGCGCAGTCCGTTTTGTCCACAGTTATATCCCCAGCATCTAGATGAGGGCCCGGTGCCTAGCTGGTGCTCAATAAACACTGGAGTGGAATGAGTGGACACATGAATGCTACCCTTGGGCCCAGACACTCACCCGTCTCTCTCTGTCCCAAGGTGCAGTGTAGTCCCTCTCCCGACCACCAGGCCCGGAGAGATTCTGGGGGCCGCCAGGGCCTGGCTCCTTCCACCGCCGCCGCCTGTCTATCCCATAGAGCCCAGGCTGACTGTGCCCAGACTCAGACATGGTCACCTATGGGTAGAAAGAGGTTGATTCCAGGATGAAGAAAGTCTCTCCCCACTCTATCTGGCTTACCCTGGACTATAAGAAGGCACTTCCTTTCAAGAGAGCTCTGTGGCTGTGGCAGTGACTGCCAGCAGGATCTCAATAGCCATTCTTCACTACTTCCAAAGAAATAAAACCCTCAGTTCTGAGGTGGATACATGGCTATCCAGAATACACTTCTCAGCCTAGTCTGCAGTTAGCTGCGGCCATGTGACTAAGCTCTTTCTGGCCAACGGTATGACACCAGAAGTGTGTTTTGGCAGCGTTCAGAAACTTTTCTTCACAGACACTGGCATTTGCCTTTTGTCCCTTCCTCCTACTAGCTGAAAGGAATGCGGGTGTGGAGGCCGGAGCTCAAGCAGCCATTGAGGTCTGTGAGGCAGCTTAATGGAAGGAAGGCATAAGAGAGAAAACACAAGGTTCGGGGACTCCCTATTAACCTTAAATTGCCTATCTCTGGATGCAGTGACAAACAAATCCCCTTCTATCTCTTGTAGCCAAAACTAATCCCAACTGTTAATCACTTTTCTCAACATAAATACTAACACATGGGGGAAGGTCACATAAAAATGGGACATACTCTTTCCCAAAGTGCAGCAAAGCATTTCAATACAAATCTGTAACATGACCCCCAGTCCGACACTACCCTTTTGATTAGCCAATACTGGCACATGTGGGGGTGGGGCACCTGTATTCAAGGACCTATTTTCACCGGGTGTCCCTCTACTTTCAGTGTGTTCACCTTCCATTACAGATGGTCTGCCATCCCTCACACTCCAAGGCCTCACCAGGGACATTATATGTCCCTCACCAGGGTCATTATATGTCATTATATGTCTCACATCTAAGACATAAAACCCACTCTCTATCATTTAACTAGCTGCTTATAGGCCCCTAGGGAGTTTCCCCAGCTGTTTACACTTCATTCCAGGGAAGTCTCTTGAGTATGTCTGTTTGCAGGACTCCGAGGCCAACTGCTAGAGCTCATGGGTCCATATCTGGTCTGCCTTCTGTTTTCGGAAATAAAGTTTTATTGGAATACAGCCACATCCATCAATTTACAAGTTGTCTATGGCTGCCTTCTTGATACAATGACAGAAGTGAGTAGCTGAGACAGAGATACTATGGGTTGCAGAGTCTAAAGTAATTATTCTTTGGACCTTTACAGAAAAAGTTTGCTGACCTTTGCTTAGCTCTGAAGTGCCTTCAAATCATTCTATGAATCCCTCCGCCTCCCACCCCAGTACAGTGACATTAAGAGGTCCTTGTG